CCCGCCTAGGAGGTGTTCACTGTTAACATCTGGATATTGTCCTACAGCCTTGAGGCATATACCAACAAATTGCTATTTATAAAAACGGGCTCATTCTGAAATAGCATTGTACAGCTTGATTTTTTTATATTGTTATCCATAGATATGCCTCTTTCTGTCAAATGGCTGCTGAGTATTCTGTAGTATAGATGTGCTGTATTTGATATGAACATTCCCTTATTGATAAGCATTTAGATAATTTCCAGTTTCTTTTTACTCTTACCAGCAATACCACTGTGAGCGTCCTTGAATGTTTGTACGTAACTGTCTGTGCAATAGTTTCTGTTGGAGAAGCTGCTAGAAGTGGGATTACTAGCTTATAGGGTGTGCGGGTTTAAAATGTTATTCAGTATTGCCAAATTACCCTTCTAAAGGTTGAGCCAATTTCCCCTCCTTCCAGTGGTCTGTGAGTGCTCATTTCCCTCCATCCTTGCCAGCACTGGTTGTTATCAATCATTTTAATTTTTCCCAATCTGATGGGCAAAAAATGGTATCATGTCGTTTTCATTTGCATTTCCCTGATTGCTAGTGAGATAGAACATCTTTTCATACATTTATTGGCCAATTTACTTTTTCCTCTGTGGATTTCTAATTCACTGCCAATTTTCTCTTTTTCTGTCTTTTTTCTTATTGATTTGTAGGGGCTCTTTGTATATTAGTGATCTTTTCTTTCAGTGTCTCACTTGCCTTTTAACTTGTTTATGGTGTCTTTTGCTGTACAGATGTTTTACGTGTTTATGTACTTGGATTTATCAAGTTTTCACTTGATGGCTTCTGGATTTAATGTCTGGCATAGAAAGGCTTCCCCTGCTGCATAAGATTTCATTTCAAATAAGAATTTTATTGCTGAAAAATCTTTGCAGAGCTCCAGTTTGTAGGCTTCTCCTGGCAGCTGCAGCACTGGCTCTGGGGGAGGGACGGACAGCCTGTGTGTCCTTTCTTGTTCATTACTGCTGTTCCTTCTGTCTGTCTGGCTTTGGGGTCACGGTCACTCTGTGTCTCTTGGGCCTTTGTCTCTAATGTGATCTTCCCCTTCTTTCTGTGTCTCTACTGTTTTTCTATCCCCAGCTGGCTTCCCAAGGGACAACAGTAATTAGGGACAGGGGATAGCAGCTGTGGCAGTTCTCAGCAGTTTGGGAGGCTTCCAGAGAACGTACTCTGCCCCTGCCCCTCAGCCTAGCCCCAAGTCTGGTGGGCTGGTGGAGCAGGCCCTGGCCCAGTTCTCTCTTTCAGAGACATTCATTTCCTGCTGGGAGCCTTAGGGCAATCTCTGAGCCGATCTGAGTCCCTCCTCTACCAGGAAGCCTTCCTAGATATCTCCTTCTTCCACTTCCACAGTCTTAGACCTGGCCTCTCTTTGTCCTCACTGGCCTTTCTGCATTCTGCCTTTTCAGCACTGAGCTACCTGGAGCCACCTCTCAGGATCTCGGCTTCCTCCTGGGTAAAATAGGTCCTGGGAGTCTGTACCAGCTTGCTGAGCGGCGTGGCCCATGTGTGATCCAGCCAAGCTCTGGAAGGTGTCCCCTCTTGCCCTCTCAGTACTAGCCCTCCACCAGTAAACCCCAGACAGCACAGGGGAGAATTTTTGTGTCTCTAACAGAGAGATGGGGACTTAGTCCCACAAGGGTGATGACTGATGGCTGGGGCTCCCTATTTTCTGCCTAGGGCTAGGCCTGGCTTGGGGAGTGGCCCAGGAAAGCAGGGACAGGGCAGGAGATGCTGAGCCTGGGGGAGGAGGAGGGCAAGAGGAGCATGGCATTCTGGGAGCACCTTCCGTGTAATGAGGCAGTTTCCTCATGATTCCTTATTCCTAGGGACTGAGGGTGCTTGTGGGAACACCCCCATTACCTCCTGGCGATGAGGGCCCCAGGTGGGCTTAATATTCCTTCACCCTGGTGGCCTCTGTATAGGGCTGTACGGAGGGTCTGGCTGGAGGCTGCCGCTGGAAGACAGGTCAGGGAAACCTGGAGTCTCTTTGAAACATGGCTCAGAAGCGCATCACCGAAATCGCTGAGGTCACCTTCTCTGGGCTCCTGCAGCCCTCTGGACTTCTGTCCAGCACCTGCCTTCTGCCGGTGATGGCCTGTCCTGGTGGGTGGGAGTGGTGTATTTTATGTCTCTTTATCCAAAATCCCCAAGCAGAAAGTAGGCACTTACCAAAGTAGAATGAATGAATGAATGAATGAATGAATGAATGAATGGAAAGCTGGGTGTGTTGGGTAGACGGTTCAAGTCTGGGGAAGAGAAGACCTGGGTTCTGGGCTTGACTTTTCGGCTGACTTGCTGGATGACCCCCACCCTCACTGGACCTCCATCTCCTTATCTGTTCAGGGAGTGTGGGACTCTCAAGCTCTGTGGCCCTGTGACGTGTTGGCCAGAGTAGGCACGTGCCTCCGTGTCTGTCTCTGTCCCTCCCTGGCCAGTACCGCCCTCTTTGGTGGCAGTTTGCTCAGTACCTGCTAGGTGCCACCCTGCCGAACGGAACCCCCTTTGGCGGCACCTTGGGGTAGCGGTTTCCGTGGAAGTCTTGCGTCCCCAGGGCACGTAGCAATCCTGTTGAACACGCAGATCTCTGGTTCCCATGGCGCCCTGGGCTCCACTGAATGGGCAGGAGGCCAGGAGGCCGGGTGGGAAGGCCCCACCCCTGGGGTGGTCTCCTTTGCCCCTCTCGGCTGTGAGGCCCGCAGCCAGGATTTCACGTCCTTCCTGAAAGTCGGCATACAGACAAGCTCGGGGCCTGGAGAGCTCGTGGCTCCCACGGCATCTCCCTGCCCCAAATCATTGTCATGCTCTGCCTGTGGTCCCATTTCCATAGCAACTCCTCATGATGCCACTGAGGAGAGGGGGAGCTGCAGGAAGGTGTGGGGAGGAGGAACAGGAGGCCCGTTCGTCATCGTGCAGCGTGGCAGCCGGGGGCTCGGGGTGGCGCTGTGGGGATGGCCCGGCCTGCCAGCTCAGGTGGACCTGGGCTCGGGGCCGCCAGCCAGGTGGTCTGAAGGCCTGCCAGGAGCAGGGATGCCCGGCTTGGCCTGGGCCCGGCTGGCCTGTGCCAGTCTGCCTGGAGCCAGCGTGGGTGGCCACTGAGGGCAGCCCTGCCTGGCGAGGCCCGGCTCAGAGGGCCCAGTCGTGAGGTTCTGGTTCCCCGTCTGGCCCTGGCTGGCACCCCTGTGTCCTGCCTTGCCCTCTAGGAATGGCAGGCTTCAGAAGGCCCTGCTGGGGCTCACTGGCAGCAGGGGGCATGGCTTGGGGCTGCTGAATGTGGGGCTAGGCAGGTCCCCTGTTATCAGATCTACGTGCCTGTAGCTCTGTTGTCAGGTCAGGAAGGCCACAGTGGGCCCAGAAGCAAGCTCGGTGCCCATTTCTCTGCCTCATTCTAGAGAAGTTTGCAGCCCATGAAACAGGAAGACTCTTGGCTACAAAAAGTCCTTCCATCTTCACCTACCAGGAAGGTGAGAAATTCCACCATTCACAGCCTAGACTTGATGGAATATTGACTTGGGGAGGGACCCAGGGGCCTTTGCCGACTTCTGCCCACGGGATGGCAGCCACCTCTGCCCCCGTCCATCCGGAAGGACTTGTGAGTCCTCCTGGGGACCCAGGCCTATGCTGGACAGTGGCGTATGAGGAACCAAGAGGGAAAGGAGGGGGCAGCCTGGCCCTGTCGGGAAGAAAGGAGCTGCTGCTCCTTGTGAGAGCTTCTGGGAGCCAAGCCACATTAGATGCCAGCTTTCTGCATTTCCCTTCCACCGTCGCAGGTGTAGCCACTGCTGGGCGCTACTTGCACTCGTGTTTTCCTAATTCTTGTCTTTGTGTTGACTCACGTTTGAAGGTGGGTTTACCAGTGCTCCCCAAGCCATGAAGTCACAGGTGTGGTGTGCTGTTATTGTTATTATTATTATTATTATTATTATTAATGTATGGAAGGATAAACACATAGCTGTGAAAGTAAAAACACTTGTCTGTGAGCCACCTGGAGTCCCTTTGCTCCTGCGCCCACGGTGGTGGATGTCCCACACCTTGAGAAGCACTGATCAGATGGGAACCTCTTGGTCGCAGCTCAGAAAGGGATTTGGGGCCTCATCTGAGACATCGAGGAAACTGATGTGTGGGAGGAGACTCAGCCCAGGCCGCACAGGGAGGGCTGCCTCCTTGGATGTGCAGCCTGAGGCCTGTGTCTGGGGGCCTTGCCAAGGAGACGGAACCCCCTGGTGCCCTCCCCGACTCACAGAAGTTGCCCTTGGAGAGTGGTGAGGGAATAAAGCAGGAGAGGCCGGGGAAGGAAAGCATGGTGGGTGGGTGGGAGCTGCAGGGGGTCCTTGGGAAGCAGGAGGCTGAGGCTCCAGGAGAGGCTCCTGTCTTTGTCTGCACCTGTCTCAGGAGGCCTTCCCCCGCAGCCCGGAAGGACGGCAGGCTCTGGGGCTGGCTGGACACCACTGTGTGCCAGGCCGGGTGCCTCCCTCTCTGTCTTCCCAGCGGACCAGGCAGGAGGACTGGTGTCCCCATTTTACTGATGAGGGTTGTGAGGCTCAGAGACTTGACTGTCCAAGGTCATAGAGCCAGTGGGTAGGGAAGCATACTCAGCGCCCCTCCCCCTCCCACTTGGAGCCAGAAACTCCATCATTCCCAGAGCCCCACCTGCCCCAGCTGGTGGCATATGAGTGTGTGTGTGTGTGTATGTGTGTGTGAGAGAGCTCACACTTGTGTGTAAATGCCAGTGAGTGATGTGTAAATGTGTTAGTGTATGTATGTACACACGTGAGAGCATGTATGTATGTAAGCCTGAGTACGAGTGTGTCAGAGAGTGAGAGCACTTATGTGTGTGTGTGTGTGTGTGTGATGTATGTTTATTGCCCAGTCAGGTGGGATCAGACCCATTGTGTGTGTGTGGCCCCCCACGGCCCCCTAGAAGGGTCCCCGCTGCCTGGCTCTGGCTGACAGCTCATCTCCTCTTTCTCCCACAGCCTCCTGTGCCCACAGGCCCTGAGGCTCCGGTGCCCACAGGCAAAGAGGGCGACTGAGTCAAACCCAGGCTGACCCCAGCCTATTTGCATTCCCCAAACGCCTGCCTGACCTGAGGTAAGAAGCCACTGTGGGCCACAGGGCAGAGTGGGGGTGGCCTGGGCCATGGGGGCAGATGTGGGGTCCCCAAGGGAGAGGCTATAGGGAGGCCGTGGAAGAGTAGTCTTTCTCGGGGTGTCCCCATCTCTCTGGCCCCACGTGAAGTCCAGTCTGGGAGGTTTGCTCTGGCAGTGTCACCTTCTGCTAGCCTTGCTATGACAGGGCTCTGACAGCCTGCTCAGAAGCCTGGGATGTTCTGAGTGACACGGTTTCATGGACCCACTGGCTTATGGGTTCCTGTGTGGTGTGGGAGGCCACCAGTGTAAGTGGAAGGGATCGATCCTTGGTTCTGTCACATTGTTGACCAGGTGTGTGTGTGACTTCAGGTCAGGAGGGAGCAGGAGCATGTGGATTTGAGACTGGGTCCAGGAAAGTGTCACGAGGGGCTGGTACTGACCCCGACACATGGAGTTTAAACAGAGCTCCAAGCCAGAGTCTGCCCACAGACCCAGACACCTTCAGGCAGGATGGGGCTCAGTCTCAGTTGTGTGCATGTGACAAGTACTGGCAGCCAGGTGACCTTGGCTTTGTGTGAGCAGAGTGGGTGGCCTCTTGGACTGTATCACAAGGAGCAGGACATTCAGAATGTGGGAGGTGACAGGCCCTTCCACTGTGTCCCATTGAGGCGATGTGGAGAAACCACAGCAAGTCCTGAAGAAATGGTAGGTAGGGAAGGAGGGGACCTGGGTTGCCGCCTGACCTGACTCCTGGCTTGCTTGCGACCTTGCGCGTGTGACTTCTCCCCTTTATCTGGGCTGATCTGCTGCTGCTCTTGACAGGCTTCTGGGACCCATGAGAAGGCTGCTGAGGGACTTTGCTAAACACCAGGAATGCTAGGGGAAGGCTGGGCGCCACAGGCCGGACTGGAACGTTATCCCTATTTTCAGAGGAGGAAGACCCAGAGGCTCTGTAGGGCAGTGGGCCTTGAACCCCTTCTCCTGAAGGATTAGGTGACAGTTGTGGTGTGGTTGAAGCTCAGCCAAGTTGTGGTGTGGTTGAAGCTCAGCCAACACTGCCCTCCCACCCAGGAAGCTGGCGGGGTGTGGCGAGGAGCGGACAGTTGGATTTCCTTCCAGATACTAGGCCTTGCTTTGAAGTCCAGTTATCTCTATCAAAATATCCTTGCTAATCAGTTAGTTCTGGGTGGAATGAGCAGCTAATTAGCCCCTCTGGTTTAACCTGTAATTGCTGCTGGGTGACAGGGAGAAGGCTGTGGTCAGGGTTATCTGCAGGCCTGCCAAGGGCAATGGAAGGCGTGTGGGCAGGGGCGGCAGGGAGGCTGGGCCCTGCCCCTAGCCTCGCCAGGGGCCGTGGCGTCCTCCCCCCTGCCCAAGGGGACAGCACCGGGCACCAGAAGCTTGGCGGGCAGAGACCCGCAGGGTGCAGGCTGCTCTCTCCGCGGCCAGGGAGCTTGGAGGAGGGGACGCCTGGGCTGAGCCTTGAAGGCTAAGGGGTTCTTTTAAAATGTTCTATTTTCCTGATTATTAAAAAACACACACACACATACACACACACAACAGCACGTTCTTATAGAAAATGTGAGCATTTGGGTGTTTTGCCTGTCAGTCTTTTACCAAATATGTATTTATGACATAATTGGGATCCGACTGTACTTACTGTTTTCTAACCTGCCTTTTGTACTTAATACTATACCAAGATCATTTTCCCATCATGAGATACTCTTCCGTAGTGGGATTTTTAATGGCAGCATAATGTTCCAGCCCGTGTGTGGTGGGGCTTGTGTAACAATTCCATTACATATTTTGATTGTTTCCAATGGCGTGTCATTGTAAATAGTGCCTGCATGAACAGGATGACGGATGTAGGGTTATGAAGGGCAGAAAAGGTTTAGGGGAGGGGGGACCAGGTGAAGCAAAGGTATAGAGGAAGGGGGCTTTGGGGCATTTGAGGAGTGATGTGCCTAGGAGGGAACCTCAGAGGTGTGCCGAGGGGGCTGAGACCTGACCCAGCAAAGCTCTGGAAGAAGCTGGGGCTGCTTGGCTGATTCCCACCTCCCATCCCACTCCCCTGCCAACCCCCTTGGTGCTCCTGTGGTAGGAGGGGAGGGGGGAGGATGGCAGAGTGGGGGAAGGCCAGGCAAAGCTGAGGGTCCCAGATGCCACAGCCCTTGACTTCTCTCTCAGTGGTGGGATCAAGGGCATTGAAATCTAGCCTTTCTGTCTCTGGCGAGCCCTGCTCACGTCTCCGCCTTGAAGTAGGATGCAGCTGATGGCCCTGTCCCATCCCCAGGAGCCCCTCCCTTCTGCACACCTATCCACCCAGCATGGCCCACATGCTGAGTGATGGACTCACTAATGGGCATGGGTCTGTTTCTCCCCAAGACTGTGGGTCTCTTGGGGCCCGCCGAGCCTGATTTGCCCCTTGGATCCCTTGTGAGGAATACCAGGCACTACACCAGTGCTTGCGGAAGTTGTTCATTCTTTCAATGACTCATTCATTGTTCATCCGACACATACTTATTAAACAGCTGCTGTGTGTCAGGCACAGTTCTGGGTGCCTAGCATTCATGTGTGAATAAGCTAGACCAGGTCATTGCCCTCATAGCACTTAAATTCTAACAGAGTAGACAGGAAAAAAAAAACAGATTTTTAAAAATGTTTTTTTAACATTTATTTCTGAGAGAGAGAGAGAGAGGATGTGAGCAGGGGAGGGTCAAAGAGAGGGAGACACAGAATCTGAAACAGGCTCCAGGCTCTGAGCTGTCAGCACAGAACCTGATGTGGGGCTCGAACCCACGAACCATGAGATCATGACCTGAACCAAAGTTGGACGCCTAACTGACTGAGCCACCCAGGCACCCCAGGAAAAAACCAGATTAAGTCAGTTCATTGCACAAGGTTAGGAAGTAATAAGGGCCATGGAGAGAAACAAGGCAGGAGAAGGGAGCGGGTGAGCAGCAGAAGCCATTCTCTGCAGGGTGTCAGGAAAAGGCATCTCAGGTTGGGTGCCCTTTGAGCAGAGACTGAGGAGAGGGGACAGGCCTGCAGAGCTCACAGGCTCTGAGCTGGGTAAGAGGGGCTGAGAGAGGGCTTACAGGGCCTTGGGTTAGTATGGATGGAGGGGATTTGTGGCTCAGAGGCTCCTTCCCCCTGTCCCATGGGGACAAAGCTGTGGGGGCAAGAGTAGAGGCTAACAGGTGGTCAGGAGGTCCCAGCATCAGTGCAGAGAGAGACGGCTGCTGGGCCTGGGGATGGGGGAGGAGGAGGTGTTGCTGACTATGGCAGGGTGAGGATGGGCTGCAGGCTAGGAGGAATCTAGGAGAGATGGGAGCCTGAGAACACGCTGGGTGGTGCAGCCCTTGACTGAGCTGAGCGAGGGAGGGCCGGGGGATGGGTCTGGAGGGCAGTGAAGAGTCCCGCTGGAAAGTGGTATGTTTGAGATGCCAGTATCCACACAGCTGCACAGACCATGGGCATGAGAGGCTGTGGCTGTGGCAGAGGCTGGGCTGGGTGTGTGAATGAGGGAAGTGTCAGCATCTGGTGGGGGGTGTTTTAAAGCTTCTGGGTCTGGACAAGGGCATGGATCTGGGCCTCCCTGCTTAGGGTGACCCTAGCCTCTGGAGGCTCCCTGCCCATGGGGGTGCCTTGCAGCTGGATTTACCAGCCCAGAGAGCTGCCTCCAGCCACCCTCCCAGCTGCTCCTCCCAATGGCCTAATGGTTGGCACTGTCATTTTGTAACGTTCTTCAGGGCTGCTGTGGGCAGGAAATGGGGTGCGGGCCCAAGCCTCTCACCCTTTCCCCATAAGGGGAGCCTCATCTGGTGGGTCTGGAGCAGCCCAGGCCCCTCTCAGCCCTACTGGTGGTCACTGCTGCAGGCCGGCCTTCATGCCACGCTCAGCAGCTCCTTGCTGGCTGTGGTTGAGCTCCAGACTCCTCCTCCTGGGTATTCGGGGCCCTTCATGATTTGGCTCCTGTCTTCCTTCTTTCCAACAAGTGACCCTTGTCCTCCATCCCTGCACACACAAGGCTCAGTCTCACCTTCCCTTATCTCCGTCTAGAAAGCTTTCCTCATCATGCGCCAACTCCCACCCCTTCCAGAATGCCTGCCCCACTCTCATGCCCACTTTGGCCCCTTTGAATGGCCGTCGTTACCTTTCATCTAGTGAGTGACGCTGTCATTGCACTGTCACCATCCCTTCCTTGTCTTAACCCTTGTTCTCCTCACCATCTCCTGCCTCCGTCACCTGCCTGAGTGCTGCCCTGCCCCGGTGCTCCTACATCGAAGCTCTTCCCAAATGGAATCCTGCTCAACCCCTGGGGCTCTCTGGGCTGGGGTCCCAAGCCTGGCTCTGCATCGGGACTCCCCAGGGATGTTATCAAAGAGGGATCCTCGGGGGGCCCACGAGAACCTTCTGACCCAGAGTTGCTGGGGGGGAGGGAGGCGACCCAGGAACCCGGATGCTTTACAAGCCCCACAGTCACATCTGGTGGTCAGCCAGGTCGCGATGTGCTGCCCCAACCCAGACTCAGGGTGGGCTGGTCAGGTGTCCCTGGGAGTGTGGCCTCTGACCTTTATGTGCACTCCTGTCAGGACGGCGACCTCGCTGTCTCCAGGCCAGCCCGGGCCTTGGAGGCAGCTCTCGTGTGGACAGAGCTCTTCCCTGCGCCGACTGAACTGAACCTGCCCCCCGCCCGCCTGTGAAGTCTCTCCCTGGAGGGGTCTGGGCTCCACATGGGGGAGGGGCTGCGTTTGGCACCCAGAAGCTCTCCTTTCCTCCTCTCAGGAGGGGGAACTTCTGTGTGGTGGGGACTTGGGTGATGGCTGTGGCTTGACGGAGGACTCACCTCCTGCCACCTCTGCCTGCCTGGGCAGCTCCCCCCATGTTGAGGCCCTGGTTGTCGTCACACCCCCAGCCCTCTGTACCTGTCTGCTGACACCCCAGCCCTCTGTGCCCGTCTGCTGGCACCCCATCCCTCTGTGCCTGTCCGCTGACACC